TTTTGCTTGCATGTGGTATCAATGGTATTGGTCGGTAATTTCCACATTCTGTTGGATCGCCTTTCCTGGGAATGGGAGCAAATATGGACCTCTTCCAATACGTTGGCCAGACAGCTGTCCTCCAAATTTCATGACAAAAACTGGTGAGCACATCCTGGGCTGCATCTGTTAAACAAGTGTTATCCCATCGATTTCTGAGGCCTTATTTTTTTTGCCAGTGCCTTCGATGAAGCTTCCACTTCCTCCTTCATTACCATTGGCTCCTGTTCACTTGGTACTTCCTGAAAATTTCCAGTGTCAGTCAGTTCTTTTTGATAAAGTGATTCTGTGTATTTCCTCCATCTTCTTTTGATACTTCCTGGGCCATTTCACATACTTCCCAAAGCATCTTTCAGTATTGAGATTCAAGGCTTTGTTTTTCAGTTCTCTCAGCTGGCGAAATTCAGAGCTAGTTCTTCCTTTTATTCTCCAATTCCAGCTCTCTACATATTCCATTATAATACTTTGCTTTGTCTTCTCCTGCTGCCCTTTGATATCTTCTCTTCAGCTCCTTTACTTGGACATGTTTTTTCCTATGTTTAAACTTCTCAATGCTCTAGTGCATATTTGTCTCTTCTGACAAACACTTTGATTTTTCTTTCTCCTCTTTGTAATGATCTTTTGCTCTGTTCAAGGATAAATGTCCTTGTTATCATCCCACAACTCCTCTGGTCTTCAATCACTGACGTTCAATGCTTTAAAACTATTCTTTAGATGATTTTGAAATTCAGGGGGAATAGACTCAAGATTATATTTTGGTTTTCATGGAGTTGTTTCAATTTTCTTTAGCCTCAATTTGAACTTGCACAAGAGTAACTGATAGTTTGTTTCAAAGTCTGCCTCTGGCCTTGTTTTGATTGTTAATAGTGAGCTTCTCCAACGATTCCTTCCACAGATGTAGTGAATCTGATTCTTATGGAACCCATCAGGTGAGATCCATGTATAAAATAGCTATTTTTTTTAAAAAGTATTTCCAATGAGTAAGTCACTGAAAAGACAAAATTTGATCATTCTATTTCCAGTGTCATATTCTATCACTAACTACATATTTTCTGACTGCCATTCCTTCTTCACTGTTTCTAACATTTTCATTCTAACCACCAATTTACCATAAATGAATCTTGACTAAATTTTTGGTCAATTTTGTACTGCATGATTTGGTAAAAATTTTCAAGTTCTTACTCCTTGGCTCTAGAAGTAGGAGTATATACTTGAATAACAGTTGCATTAACAAGTCTTGTACTTATATGGATAATACCCTATCACTCACAATTTTATTTCTGGATAGAACTGGAAATTGACTTTTTTACTACGAATGAAACACCAATCTTCTGTTTTACATTCCCAGCATTGTGTATTAAATGATTATCTGATTCATGGTGCCCAAAGCTAGTCCATCTCATCTCACTAATGCCTAGAATGTCAATGTTCATATGTCCTGTTTCATTTTTCACAATTTCTACCTTTCTAACATTCAAACTACATATATTCCATGTTGCAATTATGAAATGGTGTTTGCCATATTTTTTCTCATTTTGACTGACGTCCAACCAGGGCTCTACCACTAATACTATAACCATCCGTGTTCCTCTACTGTTCACAGAGTTTTCAGAGGCCTGCTATTTAAGAATCAGATAGCCAACTCTGTTTCCTCGTCTGTCTTATGTGGGAGCTCTTCTAAAATCTGTCCACCATGGGTAACTGTTGTGGCATTTGACACAACAGTGGCATAGCTTTCAGTGGCAAAGCTTTAAGCTTTCACAGCAACCACATGTACTCTCGTATAGGAAACTGACAGAAAAGTGCTGCACCATTTAAAACAATATTCTCCCCAAATACAACAAAGTGACAATTTAATAATATGACTTCCTTGTTTTTCAAGGCAGCATAATATTATATTGTGTGACTATACCACAGCTTCTCTATCCATTCGTTTGTTGATGGGCACTTAGTTTGTTTCCAACTCCTTGCTATTGTGAAAAAAAGC